AGAGAGAGAGAGAGAGAGAGAGAGAGAGAGACTGGAGGAAACTTCGATACAATTTGGCGCAAGTCCGATTGCCAACCTCTTTAAATGCAGATCGTGGCAAGGTTGAAATCTGGCTCCATCGATGCATCTCTTTATAAGAAAAGACGAATTTCGTGGAAATTAAACGGTATTGAATTTATGTTGAATAACGTGTAAGAAATGTGATTGCTGGGAAATTGGCTGATTTGAGAGAGATGAATAGATTGTTTTTCTAGATTTAAAACAGAAATTTCTAAGTACCATTATTTCACTTCTAAAATCATTCAAAATCACCTCAAAGAGATGAAGCAATTGTAGAACTGCAAAAAAATATTAGTGAAAAGAATGCGTATTTGATCGATAAACTTAATTAATTCACAAAAATAAAGATGCATATTCAAAGTGTCGCAAGGAAATATTCCTTTTATCCTTGTGTCGTTATTTTTCTTCATAAATTACATGTATATGATACAATGAACATTGGATAATTTTCCAAAACGATATACGATATATATTCGGTATTCATTTCAATCATTGATTTAGAAAGAATTTCTTCTACGCTATGAAATTCACTCGATATGTTTATATATTAAATTTTAATCCTTTTTCTCTTATTCATTTTCTATTCGAAATTTAATTGAAACATATTCGAATTAAATTTCGATTTCACTATTCCTTCACAAGTGCTAGTAGTCTAAATTTCGATTATTGGCCCTTATCCAACGTTTATTGTATTTCTGAATCTAACCTGTACCGAAAAAGACGAAGCTATATAAAGATGATTCGGCCTTGAATCTTGACAATTACACGAAGGCACGACACAAAGTAAGTGGCACAATTGAACTCGTATACGACGAATCCTGGACGATGATTCTCGAAAGCGTGTAATTCGATTAGCATTACGACGTACTTGTTCTACCATCGGGCAACAGCGTATCGAGCGCATTCAGGGGATATGCCGAGCAGGTGATGTTACTGTAGCGCCAGAATTCTCGTGCGGACAGTTCCAACATCTCCCGAAAGACTTCAGCACGGCCCAACTGGCAGGCGAGCGTCAATGGGGTCAGTCCGGCAGCATTCACAATCCCATTGCGAGCAGGAAGCTTCGGATGACGGAGAGCATATCCGAACATGTCCTGCATTATACAACCGTGCTATTGTACTCGATTTAGCGGAAATCTTTCTGGATGGTCGGAGAAAAATAGAGCGCGCAGAGCGATCTCTTGTTTAAAAACAAGTTCGTGTGAAGTTAGGTTAGGCTACAATTTTTTCTTTTCTTTTTTTTTTTCTTTAAAAATTTTGTTATTATTTCGTATCTTTGTTTATTTCTTTTTGGAATAAAATTATTTTTATGTAATTATTCTTGAAATATGATTTTTTATTGTAATTTAGCATGCTTCGACTTTATTTATATACTTGATTTTTGAAATCAGAATTTGAATTCGAAATAGAACAAATAGAACTCATATAAATTTTATGTAAAATTCAAAAGTAAAATTGTGAAAGATCAATAAAATTTCATTTTAAAATTTTTCTTTATAATTTCTTTAAAAAGAGACTAAAATAGCTGATCAATTTTTCCGGCCCGTTTCCGGACGAATACCCTCTTGTTAGGGTAACGTTATATCGGATAACCGAATAAACTGTTTACTTGGTATAGGGTACGCGGAATGAAATTTATGGTGAGTCGATTAATTCGCCTGCTCGTTCGATGGACTCCGTCTGATGTCGCGGATGCTAACTCGATTATCTCGCTTAAACCCATATAAGGATGATTAACCCCTTATCTTATATAACATTTTTACGACCATAGGTGTTAAACTTCAGTTAACTATGTACTTGCGAACTTTATCAAGTTTAAATCTTATCAATTTTCTAGATTATATTTAAAAATATTTAAAAATTTTTTAACTAATTTTAAATATTATATCAACGAAAGATTTATTAAATCTTGCAAAAATCAAAGTCACTCAATGTGAATAATAATTCATACAGAATTACACATGACACGGAAGAGTACAATTTTTTTAAAAAAATATTAAAAATGCAAAATCTCACACGAAATACGTACCAATTTATCACAAACCACTACCATATGCAGTATCATGTTTCCGAAAGAGTCTTGCTCGTCGGGATCAGCGCCAGAGTCGAGTAATAAGTTGTAAACGCTCTCGTTTGCACAACAAGCGGCCCAGGCGAGGGGATATTCCCCCAGATAAGCTAATCCCTCGTAATCCGTATTCTTAGCCGGATTCATTCGTTGTTGGTCCCTGGGTAGGAAAAAGCTGCCTATCGCCCGCTGAGAAATGATCGCTCCCGCCTCAACGAGGTCTTGCACCAGTTCATTATTGTTGTACGCGATCGCTAGATGGAGCGCGCTAGCGCCAAGGTACTCCTCACCCTCGACTACGTCAATGGCCAATCGTGGAAAGCACTTGAGCAGAATACGCGCCACTCGTGTGTGTATCCTGGTATCGCATATAATCAGAACATGCAGGAGAGTCTCTCCTAGCGAACCTCTGTACTGCATTTGCCAGCACGCTTCGTGATCGTTCCATTGAGCCAAAGGGTCGAACTGTGACAAAGAAGCTTCGATAGGGAGCACAACTTGCTCGAGGTCTCGGAATTTCCAGCGTAGATACTCGGCACGATTAATCACCTGGCCCTTACCGTTCGCATACATCAATACACCGAATTGTTCCCTGATCAATTTTTCTACCTCGAACTGGCCACCTTGATTGTACGACTCGATCAGCTCGCCACCCTTTTTGTAATTGGCCAGACGATACAACAGACATTGATCCTCGTCGCTCGCTTGACTGATCACACGATCAAGGATCGAGCCAGAGTTCACCTGGCTACCGCGACCTCGAAACGAGCAGACACCACCCATTCAGACATCCCTCTTTAAACCTCTTTCACGTCCTCGAACCGTTTTTTTTTTTTTCACGACATTTGTCCACTCTGTATCACTCTTTTCCTTTCTTTTCTTTTTTTTTTCTTTCTTTATTTATCTTGATGCTGCTCAATAGGTCTATTCACAAGATCGATTTCGCTCGACGACCGACGGCTTATCAACCGCCATCCGAGCAAGATCTATCTCGAGTGGTATCTCAGGTATCCTCCAGGACGAGTGTTCTCCCATTTTTCGACAGTTCTAACCGAGTGGACGAAGGGCACTTCGCTGTGTGACTAACCGTGATCGACTCAACCACGTTGAGTATAACCCTTGAGAGATTCCTTCAGGCTGACGAAAGGTGGCACACAGGTGGAAAACGGTGTTTAAGCTATAGCAACCGACACCACCGTACCTCGAATAATCCATAAACAGTGCCTGGCTCCGCTTGATACCAGAGGGTTACTGGGGTGATATCTTTCCATTCCATTCTATGTCGAGATTAATTTTTTACGTTGGTATATTCTTACAGAATATTTTTTATCACTTATTTTTAATCTATCTTTTAATTGATTTCGACTTTCTTTCTTTTTTCTTTCTCTCCCTCTCTTTCTTTTCTTTTTTGTTACATTATTCCGTCAATGAAGCTTTCGCGTGTATGTCTATTCAAGAATGATGAGCGAATATTTGCTCCACTTTTCCTTCGCTCGACCTTAACACAGATAGTGACGTCTGAATATGTTCCTGCAGATAATTTTAGAGCCCGATTAGGAGTCCGCAAAACATAAAAGATAGTGAACAAAAATTATGGAATATTAGATACGTGGAAAAACTCTTAAAAGAAATACTTACTTTTTGCATTTAATTAATAAAATTTTGTTAAATTCAAAATTTGTTTAACTTTAAAAAATATGTATTAATCTGTATAATATTGAATATTATATATATATATTGAATTCAATATATGATTAACAATATTTTAGATAGAGAATAAAATTTAAAAATGATTTATTTTTCTTGTATTCGTCACAAGAAAAATTATAAAAATTCTGCAGCAGTTGTAAAAATTATCTGCGATCAAAAATTAGTAAAAATATCATGTTCCTTCTTGAAAGAATAATTCTCTTCAAATGTTCAGTTTCTCGGTACTGCGAATGGTTTGCCAGTTCTAAAAAAAAAAAAAAGCAGACAGATAAAACCGCAGTATAAACTATTTTAACAAATTTGAGGATAAGAGTTTAATGATAAATTTTTCGCGGAAATACATGAATAAGAACTGCTAACCTTGATAATAATATGTCACCATATATTGTCATTCGATTCTATGAATGTATCTTGCAAAAATGCCTTTCCAAATCAGTTACAGAGATGAATAAGGATAAATCATTAAGCACTAGTCATACGAATGTGAAATAACGAACGCGTTGAAATGGCGTTGAGTGTTTATATTTTTATAAGGCAAATAATGCAAATTCCTTTACAGGAATGTATAATGGTTACGGGGTTTATATTGTGAAAAACGGAAAATCAATCGTATCATCGTGGAACGATTTTTCGCCACGCAGACGCGTTTCGATGCTTACCATATATTGTTTATGTAAAATAAAGCTTACGCAAGCTTCTGATGCGTTGGATGGATTAAGCGGGATTTGACGTTTAACTGCAGTTTTTGCTTTCCATATTTATATATATATATATATGTGTGTGTATATAGGTATTTATAATGGTAGTGATAAAAGATGAATTAATTAATTAATTATGATATCATGTTTCCATTGATTTTCCTTGATGATATCACATTTTTAAAATAAGACGGAAATTGTGTTGGAATTTGTATTTGAATAAACAATTAGAATATTCACATTATTATAGATATTGAAAAAAATTATGCGACGTGTAAAGAATTATCTTGATGTTTCTGAAAAAAATAAAAGCAAAAAATATTAAAGTGAATTCATTTAATAAATTTCCTAAGATATTTATTGTAAAATAATTGTATTCGACTCACCTGTATTTCTATATAATAATTTATTTTTACAATGAAAAAAGATATAAGATTTTAAAAAGAATATCTTAATCTTATATGAAATTATTTCTATTAATGAAATAATTCATTCCGTTGAGTCAGGATAATTTAATAGTTTAATTAAAATTTCGAATCACAATCCTCGGATGCAACTCTGAAAGAAATGTAAAATCTTTGGTTATTTTTTATTTTTTTTCTACTAGGAAATCTTGTAGTTCAAGCTTGAATATTCTAGACACGTCATCATTTACCTGGTAGACCATACATATACCATATACACTCAAGAAGAAAATATATGTATATACGTGAACCATGTAATTATGATATTTCCAGACGTGATGACTCAACATTTGCGTCGCACAACGGTGTGGTACCAGTCTCAGAGAAGTACTTACTATCATTGCACCATTAACCGATAATGAAAAGGACGACACATTATCTAAAAAATATTTTATTTAACATTCTTGATGCTCGTTCTTTATCTTGTATATAGATACTATCAACGTTCTGATTTTTAATAAGAAAACAAATGTTATTCTAAGATTACGATATAGATGGAAAAATGTAGTAACAATTCTTTGTCATGGTATTATATATTTTGTATAAAATTTGTAAAAAATTAAAACAGCATTATCATTTGAAATAGCTGACTTGTAATCTGAAAAAAAAATTTGACGTGTCATTTATATGCATATTATTGACTTACATGCAAAAAAAGAATGAAACTGCAAAATACATTTTTAATTGAATAAATGTGTTATCGCCTTTAATTTAACTATTGATGTATTAATTTCATTTCATTTCATATTTAATTATTATTATATATAATTATTTTATATATAATTATATATATTATTATATAATTATTATTATTATACTTTCAACATTAACTATTTATATTATTCTTTATTTATTCTTAAATAAATTTTCTAATTTATTTTTATTGAAAAATCATAATATTGAAATCATTTAAATATTAACTTTTATCATTTTTTTTTTTTAATTATTTGTTTTCCTTCATTAAAAATTTTATATTTAATTTTTTATATATATGAGTTTCAAATTAATAGTTTATTAATTTTTTTTTCTATTAAATCAAGTTATCAATGATATTAATTATATGAATATCCCAAATTTTATAATATTGAATTTGATTCATATTAAATTATAATAATTTAAATCGTTTATTAGAAATAATCGAATAATTATTTCAGTAAAAATTCTTTTATGTTTAATTTTTATCGATGCTATTCATTCATGATAATCTATTCCATCATTATGTATTAAAATTTAAAGTTGATGCAGATCGAATTAATCAATTAAACTTAATTAGAAGACTATTTGGAATTTTTTTTAGTTAATATTCTGAAATTCTGAAATCATAGATTTATATAAATTTTAATTGAATTAATTTCTTTCTTATAATAACTTCATTTCAGAAATAATTTTAATTTTTTTTAAATTATTTAATTATAGAAACATGACTTTCTTTTTTAATAATTTAAAAATATTTTAATCATAATATTCATTAAATCAATTCAATGATAATTTCAAATTATCAAGAAATTTTCAAATAGTATCATTCATTCTTTCTGCCATAAAATAATCATTCTTGTATTAAAAAAAAATTTTAAATCTGATCACGATAATGATTATATATATTATAATATTATATTATATTATACATACCTTTATTCGTTATTTTTATTCTTATGCATAATATGATGATTAGAATCATATAAACTTTACATTGCAAAACATTGTGTATATATATGCACAACTGGTTGAAAAGAGAGAGTCAAGCAAGTAAATTTAACGTTGGAACGAAACTAATCCTGTGAAAATGTACATTGAGTAAAGAAACTCATTCCATCAAGCACCATGATAAGAGCATTAGACATTTATCTCTTATTTGTACGTGCATACATTTTCACTCGCAATTATTTGAATGATAGAGAAATACAACTTTGCTACAGATACATGTACAGATGTTTTCCGAGTTAACGACTCTTAACGTAAATGAGAAGTATATACGTACATAAAATGAAGGAAATCTATTCAAACTTTGTTTGTAAATTGCGATACTGAAACACAAATTTCATTTAACGTGAAAAATTGAAATTGTAAATTATTTTATTATGATTACGAATTATTGAAAATAAAATCATAAAACAAAAAATTTATATCATCCTCGATTAAAACTAATATCTATAAATATTGAAATTTATAAATATATATTTCTTATTTCTATTCAATCAATTATTTTATTTATTTAAGATATTAATAAATTGATTTACAAATTTTAGGTTATGGATTTCTATTTTATAATTTTATATCAAATTGGATAGATGATTCATAATTTATAAAATTTATTTATAAAATATCATTTATTATAAAAATTAATACTTTTATATAAAAGTAATTTATAGTATTGATAATTTGTAACTGTCAAAAATTTTGTTAGAAAATTTTATTAATAATATTATGTGCAAAATGGCTTTAAAAATAATCTAACAATGTAATGAGTATAAAACCATAAATAAAAAATGATAAAGAAAAATGATAAAAAAAAGTAGAAAAATAATATGAAAATGTATTCCAATTATAATGTAAGGCATAACGAAAATTGAAAGAAATTAATATATATTTAAAATACATATAATAGTTGATTAAAATAGTTGTTTAAAAAAAGTTTCAAAAGATTAAAAGAAAAATTTATTATGTTAATATGAATTCTCATTATATAACTATAAATGTACAATAATTATCAATTTGAATCATCACATTGAATAATAAAAAAATGATATATATATATCTGACAAGCTTATTTTTTTTACAAAATTGTTAGACTAATATATCATATTATTATGTATCATGAATATATGTATACATATAATTATAATATATGATTGATTCTATCTTGTTATTTTTATATAATTGAATAAAAAATAAAAATCATGTTATAATTTTCGATTAACACTTCCTTTTCACGAATTATACAACTGATAAAATCGGTATAAAAATATTTGCATGGTAAGATAGATCAAAAAGAACAAATAAAAAAAGGAAAAAAGAAATTCATTATCGTTTCAAAGAGAATATACTAGAAAATTATTCGTAACGAAGATTATAATATCGACATACCAATTGTAATACTTGACTTTATGAAGTCTGATAAAACACCGGAAATCCTCGTATTTGGAACGAAAACCACATTGTTTACGAGACTAAATTAACGCTGGCACCTAATTTTCTCTTCCAAATAAATCCACTCGAATTTCGCGACTTCAACAATCCATCGTAGAGAAATGTCGCAAAACGTAGAAAGTAAATTATTTGCGTGTTATTACAGGATATGAGGGGATTGGTGGCGCTATCTTGGTTGCACGACCTGTCGGTAATCTATTCTATTTTTTTATTTTCCAATCTACTTCGATATGTCTTCGTTGTTTTATTTCTGGTTTCTATATTAATATTAACATCAATCATCAATACATTTGTCGTTGGATTACGTAACATATTCGTGTTATACACAATAAACTAAATTATATATATTTATAAAACTATAAAAAATGTGGTACATATATACATATTTTTCAAACAATTTCACTTTGGCCCTTTCTATCTTCGCCACTAGATGTCTCACTAATTCTAATTTTATTGTAAATTCTTACCCTTATTTCAACTCTTAATTATTAACAAGCAAAGGCAAAACACATTCTTTTACTTTTCTTTTTCTAATCTTTTTTATATTATCATGCGTTGCATTTAATTTATTTATACAGATCAAATCCGATTACTTACAGTTCTTAGAATTAGGTATGTAATATTTCAAAATTGAATATTCTATTAAATATTTGTAAATTCCGGATAAATCATTACGAAATGTATTGTACGGAAAGTGCGAAGAAAATGAATACAAAACAAAAAAAAAAAAAGAATGATGGAACAACGGTAACAATTGATCTATTGAACTTTATTGATCGATACCAATTTTTCAAATAAATAACATCTCGAAAATTTGCTGGAATATATGCGTAACGTCAATGATAAAACTTCACATTTATATTCTACAGTCGTACGATCGCTTAAAGTGCGTCGCAACGGTTCACACGTAGTGTCAGACATTTATTTGTAGAATGTTTATACGTTTACGTGATCAGTGACCCGTTCGAACTGCATCATTAGTTAAGACGAACTATGTGATCTGATCGATAAATTTTTTGTTCATCTGAGTTTTGTTTGAATTGATTGTAAAAAACGATTGTTCATTTTCAAAGTCTTTAATTTATCAACGATGACTTGGGATTCGTAAAGTGATACGCATTGCTCGCTTAATGGAAACGAGGTTAAAGTGTATATTCCTGTTCCCTTGACGATTACAACAAATTATTATACTGTTACTGTGAAAAATGTGTAAAAGTTACTTTATCGTTCTATTTATGGTACAATTATAAAAAATGATTAATTATATATATGTTTGGTGATTATTAACTGTGAAGGTATTATTAACCTGTTCATTATTTATATATGCGTAAGATTTATTAAAAAGATTAAAAATACATTTAGAATGAAATATAAGAATTAATCACGTGTGATTAACGTTTAATACGAGATATTGTAATTATGTAGTTGAAAAATATATGATTTAAAATATAATATTATTTAAAAAATTCTAGTTTCATTTTATTTTCTATATATAGAAATAACATATTAAAATTTACTAAATTAATACATTACTAAAATAATCGATTTTATAAGTTTAATTGTTGAAGTTAAATAGTTATCTTTTAATGTCTATTATTATAATTTGTTTTATTGATTTGTAATTCGGAATTTTATATTTATATTTGTATAAAGGAACAAAGAGAAATCTAATTCATCTTTAAATGATATAAATTAATTGTTACACATTATAATTCTAGATAAATCGGTTCTTATACAAAGACATCATTAGCTTATTAATTATATAAGTTCACTTTATTAATTATGCAAGAAAAATTAATTATAACCTTGAAAAGATTATCTTTATATTATATATAAAGGTTCAGTCATTGAATATCAAAAATATCAGTTTGTCGATGAATAAGAAAATTAATCGCACTTTTTATATTCGAGACATCGAAGCTTGACGCAAATACTATTTCTGTTTTTTATGTCTTATTTTCTTGATATATAAATACTATTCGATATTTCGCGGAAAAAAAAAGAATTCATACAATTATAAGCATTTGAATACAGAAGCAGTGAAACAAATTATATACATTGTTTCGTGTAATCAAGTATTTATGTGATTATAGACTTGTTCATAATTGTTCAACTATGTTAAAAGAGTTATAAATAAATCAAAGATATTATCATAACGTATTTACAGCGTTAATTTGCAGACAGCGTTAATTGTTTACAGTTTAATTTTTAGAATAATTCTAAAAAAAAAAATATATCAAAATATAAAACAATCTAAATATATACTAATATTTTTATTGATACAATGATTTATAAATATTTTCTTTGGATATATATTTTAAATAAAAATATGCAATTTATAATTTACAAATTAGATTAATATAATTTAATATAATAATATAATTTACAAATTATTTTAATTATAATTTTAATAAAAAATTTATAATTTAATTAATATTTTATTTATATATTTTATTATATTATTATTTATTATATTATTATTATTATTTATATATTACGTTTTAGAAGAACATTAAATTCAGTTATTTTAAATAATTAATATTATATAGATTTCATGCATATTATGATTTTTCTCTCGACAATAATGGAAAAAATCAATATATAAAAATTCTATATTTAAAATAATTATTGAATATCATTGCTATAAAATTCTTCACGATATTCCTGTTCAGATGTGCATTTATACTATGAATGTTAAAATTATTATTAAATGCATTTTAAAGAACAAATACAGTTGCTATTGATTACAAACTATTTATTTATTAATTGTATTTATTTAAAATATTCGTACTCTGTAATTGACGTGATATCATATGATCAAAATTTGAAGAATAAAGAAAAAATTTGTTCGTCAAATTAATGTAGCATACGTTTGATTCTCTATCATTATGTTATCAATGATTCTATTATATAATTCAGTATAAAATTTATGATTGCAGGGAATGCTCGCACAATGATTGCACAGCTGTTAAATACGATAGACATAGCATGGAATTAGTAATACCGGAAAAAGATATGCTATGAGTCAAGCAGCGCGCCCTACGATCACGTGACTGACTGTTCACGTGATCTCGACAAGAAGCGTGACGATTGGTCGAGCAGTAGGCGAACGATCACATATAGAGTGGCGCGAGACAAAAGTCGTGGTGCAAAGCGTCAGGGAGTTTCAGTGAGCTGGTTCTGTGAGTGACCTTGATCCTCTCGCGAGTTCTGTGACAGTCCCGTTCGTAAGAAGCCGAACCCGTCAGTACTAATCGAATCATCGTCGTAGAAAGTTACCGGAGCGACTTTCTGGTGCAAAGAAAAATGAAGACCCTTGGCGTTCTATTCGTTGCAGCGTGGTTCATCGCATGCACGCACAGTTTCCCTGGTAAGTACACGTTTTTTTACACATGGTTACAATAAATCAAAACTTTATTCTTTTTGTTCATTTTTTAAAATTCAACATAAACTAATTTTGAAGGGAAAATTTATTTGAGATTGATTACGCTGGCAGATGTTCAGCCGTCATGTTCGATGTTTGGTTATCGATATCGTTGCTTGTCTTTCGAAGTTCCCTTTGAAATTAGTTTTTCTTGATATAATGAACTAAATTTGACGATATAACTTTCGATTCGCGATTCCGTAATTTTCAAACAGCTCGATAGTTTTTCGAGAGAGACGAACAAGTGCATAAAGTACGCTCGATAGAATTCCTTGGCAATTGTTAAGGTCATATTCGTGATCTCGTTGCGTGACAACTGAATAAATGCTGTTTCGAGCGAAAGGAGCATGCGTATACTGAATACATGTGGAGACGAAGTATATATATATATATATATAGACGGAATTACAGGGTGTTCGAAAAATTAATATATTCATCGGATTTTGTTTATTGTAGATGTATGAAAAAAATTTTGAGATTATATTTTCTTGTTTTTCACTAATGTGTTAAAAGTTTTAAATAAAATAATATTAAACTGTCAATGTGAACTTTATACTCTTTAATATAAATATTCAAGATTGATAAATCGTATCGAGTATTTGTTAAAAATAGCTCACGGAATGAACTGGTTTGAACATCGGTGACTCATCATACATTCGCATCGGCCAAAATCCAAAACAAATTTTCAGTCGCGATAAATGTTTCTTCAATATATATCAAAACAAATCATTACTGAGATGATTGAAAAACTTTTGTTTTATTTATTATCGATGATATGTTCGACAATCTAGAAATAGAAAGTTTTGAAATAAAGTGGTACAATATATGTAATACAAATTAAATATAACTGTCAATTACACGAAGGAAAGATATGTAATACATATGTTTCTACGCATTTAATAAATAAGATCTCGAGAATTTTCTATGCTTTATATCTATGAATCTTCTTTTTCTGAAATATACGTAGGCGCGTGTATATTTGTAAATGGACTTAACTTTTCTCATACCGAACATTTTCGTACCGGAACAATGCTATCTTGCTATAAAACTTGGCAAATCAAGAGATGCACTGGTCTGCCGTTGTTTTATGTAGTTTTATGCGAAAAGTTATACGCGGGATAGTCGTATGCACGAATAGTCGTTTCCTCTTCTTCCTCGTTAATAGAAGGCAAGCGGGAATATTGCCAATTGGCATATGTCTACTTTATTTATATTGTGATAAAATTAATGTCTTAATATGGCGTATAATTTGTATGCACTTTTTTTAAATGTGTTAATGTTTAAATTCTTTCATCAAATATATGTTCGTTGTTAATTATAACCTTAAAATAATCTTTTTTAAATAGAATTATTTTTTTTATATATTTAATTTTAAATACAATTGTAGAAATTATTTAACATAGAAATTATTTAATAGAATTGTCGAAATTAATTGTATTTAATATAGTATATTAAAGATTCAGTTATTTACTCGTTAATATTCTTCAGTTTATAAATATGTAAATGTTTCAAACTCAACAATTTAAAAATCAATTATTACAGTTATTAAATTAAAATTATTTTCAAAATTGATTGTAAATTTTGATCAGTATTTTTTATTCATATTTTCTTATTGAATAAAAATCAATAATTTATATTTATGTCTTAATTCATCTTGTATCAAAATTAATTAATTAAAACTAAAATAAAAAAATTCTATTATATTATATTAAAATTCATTTTCATTCAAAAGTAATAAAGTATCATAAAATCTTCAAGTAATACAATTCAATATAAGTTGTCAACTGTAAACAAATTAATAATTTTAAATAGAATATTATTTGATTGGAAAAGGTTAAACCAGTCAATTAACATAAATACTCTTTATTCTCATCGCTCCTCTTTTTTTTTAATCTCTTTATATGTCTATTATCTCTTAATATGTCATTCGATCTGAAGTGGACAACTTCACGTGTATCTTTCCTAATAGATTATTCTTTATATGATACTTTACTCTCTTTTTCTTTTTATCTTCTGCTTTTTTTATTTTAATTGTTTCATTTTGAAATATTAATTTTTTTATTAAATGTACAAATTTTTGTCTATTATTTTTTGGATAACAAATATATTA